AGGAGATAGAGCGACATCAATATTTCTAGAAAAAGTTCGTAATAAGAACTCATCTGAAGAGGAAGAAGAAGTAAGTTCATAATCTGAAGAACTTATTCAACATTTTGCTCGTCTTTATCGCAGAAGGAGATAGAGCAACATCAACATTTCTAAAAGAAGTTCGTAATAAGAAGAACTCATCTAAAGAGGAGGAAGAAGTTCATAATAAGAAGAACTCATCTGAAGAGGAAGAAGAAGTTCATAATCTGAAGAACTTATTCAACCTTTTGCCCAATTCTATCGCAGAAGGAGATAGAGCTACATCAACATTTCCAGAAAGAGTTCATAATAAGAAGAACTCGTCCGAAGAGGAAGAAGAAGTTCATAATAAGAAGAGCTTATTCAACATTTTGATAGATTCCATCACAGAAGGAGATGGATCAACATTCCCAGTAGAAGAGTTCATAATAAGAAGAACTCATCTGAAGAAGAATAAGAAGTTCATAATAAGAAGAACATGTTCAACATTTCCGTTTTAATCAAGAGAAGTCAACTGGACAAAACTTATTGTCTTTTCGTCTTTGCCCTATTCTTGTTAACACAAGAATGAGCAAAGAGGGGCAGTTGTAGACATTAAGTTTTTGTATCGTCATTCGTATTAATATTATTATTATTTTATCCATATTATTAATATTAATATTAATATTAATATTAATATTAATATTATTAATATTATTATTATTACAGGCCATAATGTAAAGTAAAATGGGCCCCGAATTACAAAACCAGCCTAACAATCAATCCTAGAGCCCAAATACAACAGAAGCAACAACCCGATCTAGGTCCAGACACGGTCCAGACCCGATCCGACCCATACAACCCGACCCAACAAGGCTCGAATCTAGTTAGGGTTTTTAAACCCTATCTTCAACCGCTAACAATCTTAGCCGTTAGATTTGGAGAGATCCAACGGTCTACAGAAGATCCAACAGAAACCCTAGGGTTCACCAACCCTATGGTCTATTCCAGCGCCGCCTCCAACTGCTCCGCCGTCATGTTCCCCAATCAGCCACTGACATGCCACTACCACCGCAATGAAGATTCCAGAAGATACGAGGACGGCCGCACACTTCATCAAAACTAAGGTGAGTCACCATCGTAGATCTAGTGACTCACCGAACGAATAGCGTTTCGAGGGCTATAAAAAGCCTCGATTTACCTGCAAAGAGTGAGGATAGAGAGAAAGAACGGAGAGCAAGCAACACACATCGAACGGAAAAGAAGATACCAAAGAACCAACAACAACGAGAAAAAAACAACGTTAAAAGAAAGAAGAGTCGAAAAGAATACTTACCATCGTCGGAGAACCCAAAATACCAAAGGTATTTCTTTAGATCTACGAAATTTTGGGGCTTTTTAGGGGTAACAGAGGCCGGATTCGACCTTAGGGCGTTAGGATCTTTAATTTGGGATGATTTGACATTTTTCAGCCACTATGGGCGGTGGCCGGCGGCAGCGATCATCGCTGGAGCACGATGGCCAGCGGTGTCCAGATTCCCTCAGGCGAGGGAATTGTAGAGAGAAGGGAGAGAGTTCTCTCGTTAGAGAGAGAACATAAAAATGAAAAATGAAGTTGGGGAGGCCTTTGGGTTAGATTTAGGGTATTTAAACCCTTCTCCAAACGACACCGTTTTAGGGAGGGATTGCGTGTAATTTCAAAAAAGGTAAAACCTATCTATGATCCCTGTATTTTATAATTTTTTCATTTTAACCACTAAAATCAATTTTTTATGCCTTTTAATTTTGTGTTCGAATTTTATATATTTTTATTTTAGTCACTAATTAATATATATATATATATATATATATATATATATATATTTAGGGTAAATATCCATTTTAGTCCTTTTAGTTTTAATAATTTATATTTTAATCACCTATCAATAATTAACGTTAAATTACACTAATAGTACCTATATTTCATAATAATTCAAATTAGGGCTATTAATTTATATATTTTGTAATTTAATCCTATATTTTTTATTCTAATCACATGAATATATATATCCTAATAATGCATATTAATAGGTAAACTAAACTACAAATAGTGAATAATTAAAAGTAATAATAAAGGAAAAAGTGCTAAAAGTTTACCTCAATTAGTGGACATAATTGGTGAGAATAATATAATATAGTCTTGAAGTTGGCTAGCATAATCGGTCACCCATTACCCAAGAAAAAATGTATCAACAAATAAAAGTTGTCTGAGGTTAGTAAATTATACTATTACTTGTAAGAAATTATATTTATTAAATTCAATTCCAAAACCCTAACATTTATAATTCCTAAGCTTTGATTTTTGTACTTTCTACACAAATTTTGTGATAATATACTCCTTAAATTAGTTTCTTTTTAATGTTTTATACTAATTAATTTGACCGATTTTATAAATTAATTAAATGATAATATTTATTTATTTTTAAATATTAAGAAATGATTGTTTTAAAGTAACTAGATGTCATATTCTGATATTTTAAAATAAATAAATACCCTACTTATAAAAAACCTAAAATAAAATAGAATATGCCTAATTTAATTATATTTATTTTGATTATATCAAATTATTTTAATATTGGGTTGTCGGGAGGAATTATCATATTCTTATTATTTCAATTGGAAAGAGAAATATTTGTCCTAAAATATTTTAGGAACTATTTTCTCTTCGATTGAAAATATTGGAATATTTTCTATTTTTCCTTAGAATTTTCTGTTACATAAAAATATGCAATTAAATTTAGAATAACAATATCATAAATTAAATTTATATTCGAATTCTTAAATTACTTTTAGAGACAATTTATAATTAATGGGTACCAATTTTGGGCATTGTGGGGGTGTTAATCCTTCCCCAAACGTAATCGACCATGAATCGCTTTTTATTACTAAAAAGAATGATTTTTTGGTTATACGCAGACTGATTTATCTTTTAAATGATGTTTTCTTAAAAACTATTTTAAAAGATGATTTTTAGTTATTTGACGTACCTAACCCAAAAGATCGATGGCGACTTAAACATTTCATTAAAAACCATTTATTTATTCACATGCTTTTTCCGCCAATAAATATCCGTGCCAGGGCGAAAATCGGTTACGACATATATTGATTAACTTCAAACTGGAAAAGTACATAATCAAATTGGTACTATACAAAGGCCATGAGATACTCGATGAAGTTCACATTTAAAATATGTTTAGTGCAACATGTGAAGCCTTGTTGAAAATTATTGATGATGGAGCTACTTCAACTTAACGTTCAGAAGCAGATGCAACATATGAGGCTTTAACTTATTTTGAGTTTGTTTTAATCTTACATATTATGAGGAAAGTTCTAGAAATTTATAATATGCTATGTCAAACTTTGCAACAACAATCTCTTGATATTCTAAATGCGATGCATCTTGTTTCGTCTACTAGGTCACTACTTAAGAAATAAAGAGACGAAGGATGGAGTGACCTAATTGTTAAGGTGAAATCCTTTTGCGACTTAGTTAACATACCTACTCCGAATTTGAATGATCGTTATGTTGCATGAAAAGGAAGGGCTCGCCATCAACAAGATGACATTACATTAGAGCATCACTATAAAATAGACATTTTTAATAATGTGATTGATACTCAGTTGCAAGAGTTGAATTCTAAATTAAATGTTCATACAATGAAATTGCTTACTCTTAGTTCAGCATTAGATCCAAAGGCGATGAATACTTTATTTAGAATTCATGACATTTGTCAACTGGTTAATAAATTCTATCCTTCAGACTTTGCTGAATATGAGATGATGTAATTAAGGATGCAGTTTGAGCATTTTGATCATGTGTGAAGACTTTCAGATTTCAAAAGTTTGGAAACCATTTTTGATTTGTGTCGATGGATGATGAAAATAAGAAAGTCCGAGATTTTATCGTACTATATATAGAGTGGTGACTTTCATTCTTAGCCTTCCAGTTTCTACAGCTACTACGGAGCGATCTTTTTCAGCGATGAACATCATTAAAAATAAGCTTCATAACAAGATTGAAGATGAATTCTTATCTAATTATTTGTTATTGTATATCGAAAAATAAATTGCAGAAACATTTGATGTAGATTCAATTATAAATGACTTTAGTGACAGGAAAAAATAATGTGTTCCATTTTGTTAGGTTGGATATTAATGTATTTTGAAATTATTTTAGCAATGAATATTATTCACTACAACAAAATAGACTTTTAGCAGCGTTTTTAGTCCTATTACGGCGTTTTTAAGCTCCGCTAAAAGCCCTCCCGACGATAGTAAAAGCGCCGCAAGAAGATCCGGTGAAAGCAGTCCCGCAAAAGTTAGCGGCGTTTGTGAACATAAAATGCAACTAAAGGTCATGTTATATAGCGGCATTTTTTTCTAAACGCCGCAAAATGTCATGTTATATAGCGGCGCTTTTCTTACAAACGCCGCAAAATCTCATGTTATATAGGGGCATTTTTATCCCAAACACCGCAATTGATTACATATAAAGTGACGTTTGTATTAACAAACACCGCCATTGATTACATATATAATGGCGTTTTTATTGACAAATGCCACTATAGACAAACACCCAACAACATTCAAAATCATTTCATTTTCATTTATTTTACTTTATTTTCTTTTTCCTGTACGACTTGCAATCCAAACAAAATAAAAAATAATACAGTAACTTTCATTCAAAACTTTAAATTCTATGTTAAATTTTGAGTGAAGCACTTGTTTATCATCAATCATAATGGAAATTGGCAAGCATACATGAGCAAATATAAGTATGCGGGGCGCACAAGGAATCGAAGGTTCACGTAGATGTACGATCGAAAGTTTGAATCGTTAGAGAAGATATCAGCTAGACGCATTGCATTTAGTTGAAGAAGCCCCAAAGGACAGGTTCTATCAGAACTAGCAGTGAGATGTTTGGAATTTTTAACAAGTCCACTCTTCAACAAATGGAGCTACATCATTATAATTATTGTATTAAATACAAGCATCCAGGTAAACAACTCTGAATATAATTCTCTATCCAAAAATAAAACTTCCATAACCAGCAACCTCAAGCGCAACAGATTTTGCCGAATCCAGGCTTCCAGGAGGCTGGCAACCTCATCAAGGTAAGATATGCTTTCTGCTTAACACAAATGCAATAACTGCATAAGCAGGGCACTTCATTACATTAGTGCCATATTATAAATGAGTTGCAGAAGACTATGAAGCATCTTAAACCTTTTCCACATAGTTCCTGAAGGAATACATTGCAGTGTATAATCATTGAAGATATGACATATATAAAAGGATATATTGAAGATAAGACATGTTGGCCAACACAGACAATTGCATATTCTGTAGATAACGGGATCCTTCTTTATAGTTTATTATCGTAATTATATATCCTAAGCTTAATTTACATATACATACATGCATACGACATACAGGTTCTTCACATGCATTAATAAAACAAATAAGGCCAAGAACTCATTAAATTAAATCCTATGTAATGACAAGCATCATGAAAATGTTAAAACAAATGGCATTGGAAACCGTATTGATAAAACATTGTGATGAGGTTTCTATAGGGCCTGATAGATTACTGTTTCCATGTCTTGATAATTTTAGGATGCAAAACCAGAATTTTCAATTAGCTCTAGGCTCAGCATGGACATATCAGAAGAAACTAAAACCTCAACTATTTCAAACCCTAAACATTTTTAATGAATATGTTCATTTAAAATTCACAAACAAATTCATTTAATTGAAAATACAATTATATATAAACAAAAATGAACATACTTTCATAAAGTTTCAACCATTACGAGCCCACCACAAATGGATATTATCAAACTCTATTGAAAAGAGCAATGCATACAATACTTGAAAAAATACAAACAAGAATCAACACTGATAAAGTCCCAGAAAGTAACTAGCCTGCACAAACAAACCATTTACCACTTTTACTTAATAACCAAAAATGAAAGTAGCTATGCCTGCACAAACAAACCATTTACCACTTTTACTTAATAACCAAACATGAGAAAATAACTATACCTGCACAAACAAACCATTTACCACTTTTACTTAACAACCAAAATTGAGAAACATTTAAAACCTCAGATGAGATCATGAGCAAAATTGAAGAACTTAATTGAATGTTAACATATTCATACCATCTGGTGTCTGCAGTGAACACAGGGTGGAAAGCAGTTTCCTTGCTTCACGGCAACTATTACTTTCTTTTCAGGCACAACAGACTCCTGAAATACCTAAATTTTAGATGACAAGAATTAACACAGATAAAGTTAAAGACCTGAAAAAAGATAGACGAAACAAATAAACGAAATAGATGTGGAATCAATTACTTGGAAATTTATACAAATGGAATCAATTTCAACCATTAACAGCATATCTAAAAGAGCAATGCATAAAAATACAAACAAAATATTGGAATAAAATCAAACTCTATCGAAAAAACCCATAAAAGTTTAAACACTATGACTTCAACCCCAAAACATCCTTTAGGTTTTCGACAATGATACACTACTTGAAAAAATAAATTTCCCTCATCAAAACTGATTGGAAAGACCGAATAATAACTCCACAGCTATCACTAAAATAAAATATCTAACCCTTTTTAGAAAAGGGGCTATTCATATATGCAGGAGCATATAACAGGACAAATATAAAAAGGAGAAAACAGAAGGGGGGACATGGAACAGGCAATTTCATGCCTTTTTACAAATAGAACCCAAGTGAATCCTTAATATTACAAGGAAATGGTTTTCATCCTTACTATTACAAAAAAAATCATCATTTTTTCGTTAATGCTAGAGCATACCAGTGTTGGCAGAAATGAAAAAAGAAAGGAAAAAATACAGAGTGCGACGGAGAAGAGACATACCTGATGGTTGGCAGTTGGCGACTGAAAACTGGCGACGGTGCTGTGATGCTGCGCTTGTGGCTGCACGGTAGAAAAATTAGGAACGATAGGAAAATTAAGAAAATAGGTTAGGGATTTGAAACGGTATATTTTAAATGAGTGAACAAACGTCACTATTGTACGGTACAGTTACACTGTCTCCTACACAAACGCCACTAAAGTACAAGTCAACATAGGCATTCATCCACAAACACCGCCATATATCATTTTGTCGTGGCGTTTTAATAAAAATGTCACTAGAGATACATGAATATCGTGGCTTTTTGGGTAAATTTCGCTAATGTTTTTATTTTGTGGAGTTTCATCTGTAAACAACGTGTTTTGTAAAAATTTAGTGGCATTTTCTCTATAAATGCTACTACATACTTGTTTTGTTGTAGTGTTTATTTTGTCAGATACTGTAATTTTGTATATTTTGCCCCCAAGCTAGAATCCTGGCTCCTTCTCTGCATAAGCAGACTTGGTTTTGAATGTGTGATTACTACTCGTCGCCTAGAAAAGTTGGTAATCATTATCCAGAGGGTTAGAGCTTTTGATAATATGGATATGAGGTATGAAATCAAGCGGAAACATTGATGAGAGTTTAGTAACATCCCAGTGGCTAGAGTTATGAACAAGATCTGAAAAGGAAGATACATAAGCATGGTCATCTAGATTGAGAAGATGATCCTTCAGAGGGCTGAAGTGCGAGATCCAAACATCTTCTAAAGGTTGAGCGGTAGTACTATTACCTATCGACCAAGCTATAATTGCTCAAAGGTCCTTAAAAGATTCTTCAAATTGAAAAAATGATCATTAAATCATCCACCACATAGTTTTTAAAATGGGAGCTCGTCATGGTTGAGCATGTTTTTCATTCTTTCTTTCTTCATTTGCTTAAATGGTTTAAAAAAGGGTTAATGATTGCATTTCGTAAATAAATGTTACTTTCTTACATTATGAATAATAAAACAAATTTTAAAATTTGAAGAATCTTTGAAAGTCAAGTAATGAAATACTCTTTTAAGGATTTATGTTATAGACATTTGACAAGTGATGATATTAGACCTTTCGTATCTCATCACTAGCCAAAAAGCATAATACATTTATTTTTCACTTGAAATCATTTGTAGACAACATTGAAATACATAGCCTTGCCATCACTCTTTCTTGAAACATCAACATCTCGTTCTTACCTTTTCATGTGCAGTCATCCTTGACATGATATTACCTTCTCCAAAGATAACTTCAAAGTCATGTCAACATCATCTTAGACACAAAACCTTCTTTCTTTAGTATAAAAAAAATCCAATGACAATGAACGAAGGATATCATCTTTTGTAAGAAGACAAGATAGGGCCTCCCTTAATGGTGTCTTTTGAGGATGAGCTTGAGTAATTAGTGGGAAAAAAGAAAAAATATCAAAAAAATAAAAAATATCAACCATTAATGACTTGTTTTTCAGTGAATAAAAAGATTAATTCTAAACAATTACCCCCGAGGGATACCTCTTTCACAAAGACTTTCGTGTATGAAATGATGAACAACCTTCTTTTATCATCGTTTCATAGAAAGAAAATATTATCCATTGATGTCCCCATTTGAACCTAAAATATTTTTTTCTTTTGACTTAACCCTAACCAAAGATCACTCCCCACACTAAAAGGAAAAATGAAAGAAAATCTGTTACATTAGTGAAGATAATCAACTCTGATGTTAGTACACAAACAAGTCCTTATGAAATAAGATAAAGAACAATAAAGCACCGAAAGGTTGACCATATACAATGTGTTTGAAGATTTAGATGCAATAGAGAATAAAGCGATATGTTTTCAAATAAAAAATAAATTGTGCTAAAACGAGATTGAAGTCCAAAGTTCATAAAAAAGATAAGAAATACATGTGAGAAGACTCTTCATAAAAATGGCTCCGTAAATCAAAAGTATGATAAACTTCAGTTGGTTTAAAGATCCATGTCATGTCTATGAAAATATCATGAAATACCAAAAAAGAAATGATCTCTAGGGTGAAAGCCCATGAATGGGTGGTATAGAGGGATCCAAAAGAGAAGAGAATAAAAATATGGATGTAGATTCAAATCGAGCGAAATAAGAATAAATATATTGATACTTAGTTTAGTCATCCTTAAAAACTTGTTTGAGCCTATTTATCACTTCTTTCATAATTGTGAGCCATGACCTACTTTACGTGCTTAAAAAGTCCCTACCAGTCATACATGAATATATAAGTGGAAATTAGTTTAAAAAACGAATATCTAAGTGGAAAAGTCTATCTTCAGATTTCATTCTGCCCATAAGGGTTACTCTTTTTATTTTCAAAAGTTTTCTAAAACTTTAATGCATGATTGGAAAATAAGAAAAATCAATAAAGGAATGGTTTAAGATGAAAATCTGTAAAGGATTTCTTGAAACCAAAGTAGGATTCGAGTTGAAAACCTAAAAAGACGACTTGAATATGAAAGTTGTGCAAATTTTAATACATTTGTAACACCCCAAATTCTGAGCTAATAGTTTCGGGTTTACCCAAGTGGTAAATGAACCTCATGAATTTTTTATATATTAAGTTATTGGGCTTAATTAGGTTGTTTTGACACCCAATTAGCCATAAAAAGGGGATTTTTAAATAAGGGACAAAATACGAAGGACCAAAAGTGTAATTATATTATTGATGGAATTTAAAGCTAAAATTTGGGATTTTACTTCAGTTTGGACGTGGGTGTCTCATTTTCCTCTCCATCTTCTTCTTTTCTCTTATTTTTTCCTTCCCTCTCCAAATTCCATAGCAAGGTAAGATCTTGAGCTCTTTTATACTTCATTTTCGTCCTAATAAACCCCCTAACAGCCTCATTTTTGAAGACCTAAGCTTTGGGTTTTATTTTGTAAGAAAAAAGGGGTTTTCATTATCCAAGCCTTGATGAGGGTGATCTAAAAGAGGTTCATTTTGAGTTTCTAAAATCAAAGTAGTGTATTTCTAATCCTTTGGAGTATTAAACTTTCATAAATTTCAAGTAATTGCTAAGATTTGGTGATTTGAGAATTTTAGGGTTTATCTCTGATTTCTTAAGAAAATAATGTTTTAGGTGTTAGTAACACGTTTTGAAGACCCTAATCAACTAGAATAAGCTTCAGAATAAGTTTAGAAACCAAATAGTTATTTGGGGTGATTTTTGAGTGATTTTTAAGCCTAATATAATTATTTCAGGGTTTAAGTATCGATATTAAAATGATCAATATCGATACTAGTTAAAATTTGGCAAAAATTAAGGATTTTGGGCTGCAGTATCGATATTGCCAAGGGGAGTATCCATACTATCCCTGTAGCATCGATACTCAAGGTGACAGTATCGGTACTGAGGCCCCAATTTCACAACAGAATGCATTTTTGGTACCTATACTCATAGGGGTATCGATACTTGATCCTATGGTATCGATACTGTAAGTAGAGTATCGATATTACTCACTTTGGATGGTTAGATTTAACTTGTTTAGGGCCTGTAAGAGCTAAGTATATGATCCATAATAGTAAGACTTAGTCTGTGAGGGACACAAATAACCAAGCATGCATAAAAACAATCGTAAGAGCAGGTTACATCTGGTGTAACAATATTAAGCGTAATTTGCCCAAATATCTTCAATAGAGGATGTATACGGATAGTTGGGGCCGAGGATCGTTAAAGGAGGCATCCGATAAGTAGTACGATAGATATGTATGATTCAGTGATAGAGAAAAGTTTGAGCTTCGAGAATGTCAGTCAACCCAGGAAAAATAAGCCGTCTTTTTCAGTTCAAGGGGCTTAGAAGGGAAATACGATAAGATTGAATAGAGTACCATTACTTAGAAATGAACTCGAGTCGGATATCGGGTTAGCTAGTTCTCAGATAATAAGTAAGCCTTCGTATAACGTTCTAGGTGAGAGAAGGAGCGAGATAACAACTAGTGTGACGTTAACTTCAGTTTAGTGAGTCCAACTATGTTAAGGTATACCCAAGTTACCGTAGTCACTGATGTGAGAACATCTATACTAGTAAAGGAAGCTGATCCGGAGGTTTTACTAACATGATCTATCACACGTTCTAAGGCAAAGCACTTCAGGGAAGTTCTTTCTCTTAAGTATTTACAAATTTCTGAATCATTCCATAGTGTTTATGCCTTAGAAACTATGCTTTTCAATATGTTACATACTGATGCGTAATGCCACCTTAGTTATACTAAGTAATTATATGCATTTGCATTAGTTTCATTAAGTATATAAGTGTGTGCATTATATATATTACTTACTTTATGTTTTTAATAAGTTTTATAGCTCATAAGTGTGTTTGCATGGTATTTTCAGCTTATTAGTAAGTTTACAATAAGTTTATCATACTTTGATGGATGTTATTATGTTTTCCATATAGGAACAATAAAGGGAAACAACTTAATGTCTTAATCCTAGCTCGATTGAAGCTCAAAGGAGTGTATGCAGCTTATTTCAACTCAAATTAATTCACTACACTTTCAGCCAGCTAAATTCATCTAACCTTAGCTCTGTTCAGCTCCACTTCAATTGCACTAGCTCAATTCAAGATAACAAGTCCAAAAGCAGCTCAAAGGTGTCCTACGTATGGGAAAGTTTCCTACAAGCATGTGAGCAACATGTGGGGCGTTGTATACATATCTAAGAGTGCATGGCATGTGTGACATTGTGCACATGTGTTGAAATTCAACAATGGGCAGATTTGAATTCAAACTAAAAGCACATGTGTAATTGTTTGAATTCTCAACCATTCCCTCCATGCATGGCCGGTTTTTAACCTCTTATCCACTCATTTAACACATGTAAAATATGTTAAAATCATTCAAAATCATCCATACAAATGGGCGGCAACACAAAGGAGTTACATGGTGGTTTTTCATTTGAGTTTTAAATTCAAAACCTGATTATTTTGTTGTCACAAGTGATGGCCGACCATATCTCTACTTTATCTATATATTTTTTAATTTTGTAAGTACAAAGGTTAGACATTTGATGAATAAAAATTATTATGAGGTTTTCTCTCAATATTG